TTCCTCTAATTATTTTGAGCAATGCATTATATTTGTAGTCATTTATTTACAAAGGAAAAACAACACATACCTTGATTAGTAAAAATGATTCTTCAAACACATTTATCTATCTGTGTGAAATTGTATATAATCTCCTGTGTCATTGTATATTTGGCAAATCAGTTTGGGCAGAGTAACCGTGACAGAGCCAAGAAAGACATTTGTACCCTGCTGGGAGTCATGACTCTGCTCGGCATTACCTGGGGCCTGGTCTTCTTCTCTTTTGGCTACCTGACCACTGTTGGCCTCTACCTCTTCTGTATCCTGAACTCATTTCAAGGTCCGTATAACTATTTTATGTGTTAGGCTCAGTTCTGGGCTCATATTAGTGCTATTCTACCTGCCAGGATTATGTGATATACTGTAAAGCTTTGATTCCCAAAGTTGCTGCCTCTTGGGACATGAAAGCTATGCAGATGTGCAGGTCATTCACAATTAATTAACTCTGTCTCTCACTCAGGGTACGACATGTAATACTATATTTTTGATTCAGGATTATGTGAATGATGAGTTGGTGACACAGTTCTGATCTTCATACATTAGATATTAGCACAGTCATTTTCACTAAAACTACATATCTCATTCATAATATTAATCAACTTCTACTTTTGAGGTTTCTCCCTCTTAAAAGGGAGTTTTCCCTTCCCACTGTTGCTAAAGTGCTTGGTCATAGGGGGGGTCATACGATTGTTGGAGTTTTCTCTGTTCTTTCTATTACAGTATGCTAGGGTCTTTGCCTTATAATATAAAGCACTTCGAGGCAACTGTCTTTGTGATTAAAGATTGTTTAATATTAGCATATGTGTAAAATATCAAATGAAAAGTTAAAATTGTGTCAATAATGAGCAGCAATGTTATTAAAGTGTGTTATTATAATGTGTCATTTATGGTAATCCTTCATTTTGAACCCTACTAGTTTTACTATAAAGTTCTGTTCCTGGTTATAGTCCTGAGTGCTTCCTTCTTTAGTCTTTTTTAGCCTCTTGTTAGTTTCTATCACCCTCTGTGTACCCTTCCTTGTGTGTCGAGCACCTTGTATTTATTTCATTCATGTTTTTGTGATGTTTGTTGTCATGAGTTCTTCTTCCTTTCTTGTCTGTTATGATTCTTTTCTCAGCCATGTTTTGTTCTCCTCAGCTATCTCCATTCCTCTAATCACCTCTCCATCCTGCAGATCCTGACTGAGCGTTGATTTACTGCTTTTATTTTCAAATGTGCGTACTCATTGCATCTCCTGTACAAAGTCTAAACATTTGCTTATCTCTCTCTCTCTCTCTTTCTTGTTCCATGCAGGTTTCTTCATCTTCCTGTGGTTTATGATGTCACTGAGAAAGGCTAAAACCTCAGTTACTAATACAAGCAGTGAAACACGAAGCACCAGCACCTAGCTCACACACAACTACAGTAACCCAAGAAGTGCCTTTGTGTTTCCTTTTAAAATGTGTAAAGTAATATAAATCTAGAAACATTCTTTCTTCTTAAGTTCATGTATAAAACAATGTATCAGATAAGACAGCGACTGAGATTAAGAAATGTACATGAATGTATTAAGTGTGAAGATTTTAACAGCTCCACTTTATTTTAAAGTTTTCTTGTAATTAGAATAGACAGAGTCTCTGTGACAAGGGGTTTAACTTTCCACTGGATCATGTAACATATGATGATAATGCATTTGAGCTTTTTTTCATTTTTGGAGCACTTCTGAGAGTAAAAATTGAAATAGCGATGCAGGAAAGAAAGGCCAGAATAAGACAGATGATAGATGAAGTGTCTCTTCTGCATCCACTTTCAGAGATCAGAGGTATAACAATAGAAAATTGCTCTTTTTATTTTTCTGTCTTAAGTCACATATTCACATTTCTATATACCAGCTCA